AGGTTCTCTAAGGATGAAATGAAAGAAAAAATGATAAAGGTAGCTAGAGAGAGAGGTCAGGACACGTACACCATCAGACTAACTGTGAACTTCTCAGCAGAAACCCTATAATCCAGAAGAGGTTGGGGGCCAATATTCAACATTCTTAAGGAAACTCAAACCAAGAATTCCCTATGTGGCCAAATTAAGCTTCATGAGGAAAGGAGAAATAAGATCCTTTTCAGACAAGCAATTGCTGGGGAATTTGTTACCACTGGGCCTGTCTTACAAGGGCTCCTGAAGGAAGCACTAAATATGGAAAGGAAAGACCATTACCAGCCACTACAAAAACACACTGAGGTACGCAGACCAGTAACACTATGAAGCAACCATACAAATAAGTCGCATAAAAACTAGCTAACATAAGGATAACAGAATCAAATCCACACATTTCAACACTAACCTTGAATGTAAATGGGCTAAATGCTGATTGCACAGAGTGGCAAGCTGGATAATGAAGCAAAACCCAATGGTATGCTGTCTTCAAGAGACTCATCTCACATGCAATAACATGCATAGGTTCAAAATAAAGGGATGGAGAAAAATCTACCAAGAAAATGGAAAACAGAAAGAAGCAGGCATTGCAATACTAATTTCAGACAAATCAAACTTTAAACCAACAAAAAACAAGAGAAAAAGAAGGACATTACATAGTGGTAAAAGGTTCAGTTCAACAAAAAGACCTAAATATCCTAAGTATATATATGCACCCAACACAGAAGCACCCATTCATAAAGCAAGTTCTTAGAGACCTTCAAAGAGACTTAGGCTCCCACACAATACTAGTGGGAGATTTTAACACCCACTGACAATATTAGACAGATCACTGAGACAAAAATTGACAAAGATATTCAGGACCTAAACTCAGCACTGGATCAAATGGACCTGATAGACAGCTATAGAACTTTCCACCCCAAAACAACAGAATATACATTCCTCTCATTGCCACATGGCAATATTTTAAAATCAACTACATGCTTGAACATAAAACACTCCTCAGCAAATGCAGAATAACTGAAATCATAACAACCACAGTACCACAGCACTACAAAAATGGGATTCAAGACTAAACAACATGCTCAAAACCGTACACTTATATGGAAATTGAATAACTTGCTCCTGAATGACTTTTGGGTAAATAATGAAATTAAGGCAGAAACCAAAAAGTTTTTATAAACTCATAAGAAAACAAACACAACATACCAGAATCTCAGGGTCACAACAAAGACAGTGTTAAGAGGGAAATTTGCAGCACCAAGCACTCACATCAGAAAGATCTCAATTTAATAACCTAATATTACAACTGAAAGAACTAGAGAATCAAGAGCAAACCAATCCAAAAGCTAATAGAAGACATGAAATAACTAAAATCAGAACTAAACTAAAGGAGTCACACACAAAAAAGCATTAAAAGGATCAATGAATTCAGGAGTTAGTTTAAAAATAAAAATAAAAATAATAATGATAATAATAATAAAATGGATAGCCTGCTAGCTAGAATAATAAAGAATAAAGATGATCCAAATAAACACAAGTAGAAATGACAAAGGGGAGATTACCATTGACCCCACAGAAATACATATAACCATCACAGAATATTATGAACACCTCTATGCACACAAACCGGAAAATCTAGAAGAAATGGATAAACTCCTGGTCATATACACCCTCCCAAGACTGAACCATGAAGAAACTGAATCTCTGAACAGACCAATAATGAGCTCTGAAACTGAATCAGTAATAAATAATCTACCAATCAAAAAAAGCCAAGGACCAGATAGAGTCACAGCCAAATTCTACCAGATGTACAAAGAAGAGCTGGTACAATTCCTATGGAAACAATTCTGAAAATTTGAGGAGGAAGGACTCCTTCCTAACTCATTCTATAAGGCCAGCATCATCCTGATACCAAAAGCTAGCAGAGACACACACAATAAAACTTCAAGCCAATATCCTTGATTAACATTGATGTAAAAATCCTCAACAAAATACTGGCAACTCAAATCCAGCAGCACATCAAAAAGCTTATGCACTACCATCACGTTGGCTTGATTCAACATACATAAATCAATAAATGAGATTCACTGCATAAACAGAGCTAAAGACAAAAACAACACAATTTTACCATAGTTGCAGAAAAGGCTTTCAATAAAATTCAACACCCCTTTATGTAAAAAACCTCAAAAACCTATGTATTGAAAGAACATACCATAAAATATTAAGAGCCATCTGTGACAAAATCACAGCCAACATCATATGGAATGGGCAACAGCTGGAAGCATTCTCCTTGAAAACCAGCACAAGACAAGGATGCCCTCTCTCACCACTCCTATTCAACGTAGTATTGGAAGTTCTGGCCACAGCAATCAAGAAAGAGAAAGAATAAAGGACATGCAAATAAGAAGAGAGGAAGTCAAATTATACCTGTTTACAGATAACATTATTCTATATCTATAAAACCCCAGTCTCAGACCAAACTCTCTTTAAACTGATTATCGACTTCAGTGAAGTCTCAGGATACAAAATCAAAGTACAAAAATCACTAACATTCCTATACAACAACAATCAAGCCAAGAGCCAAACCAGGAATGCAATCCCATTCACAATTGCCACAAGAAGAATAAAATACCTAGGAATGTAGCTAACCAGGGAGGTGAAAGATCTTTACAATAAGAACTACAGAACACTGCTCAAAGAAATCGGAGATGATACCAACAAATAGAAAAATACTCCATGCTAATGGATAGGAAGAATCAATATCATCAAAATGGCCACACAGCCCAAAGCAATTTGCAGGTTCAATACTATTCCTATCAAACTACCAATGATATTTCCCACAGAACAATAAAAAACTATTTAAAAATTCATATGGAACCAAAAAAGAGCCCAAATAGCCAAGGCAATCCTAACCAGAAAGAACAAAGCTGAAGGTGTCACATTACCCAATTTCAAACTACCTATAGGGCCACAGTAACCAAAACAGTGTGTTACTTCTATAAAAACAGAAACATAGACCAATGGAACAGAAAAGAGAGCCCAGAAATAAGGCTGCACACATACAATCACCTGATCTTTGACAAACCCGACAAAAAACTAGCAATGGGGAAAGGATTTCCTATTCAATAAATGCTGCTGGAATAACTGGCTAGCCATATATAGAAACTGAAACTGGACCCCTCCCTTACCCCACACACAAAAATAAACTCAAGATGGATTAAAGACTTAAAGGTAAAACCCAAATCTGTAAAAACTCTTGAAGACAACCTAAGCAATACCATTCTGGACATGGAAACAGGAAAAGATTTCATGATAGAGATACAAAAAGCAATTGCAACGAAAGCAAAAATTGACAAATGGGATTTAATGAAACTAAAGAGCTTCTGCACAGCAAAATAAACTATCAACTGAGTAAATAGATAACCTACAGAATAGAAATTTAAACAAATTTATAAGAAAAAGCAACCCCATTAAAAAATGGGCAAAAGAACATGAACACTTTTCAAAAGGTATGTCTTATACCTGTGACCAACAAGCATATGAAAAAAAGCTCAACATCACTGATCATTAGAGAAATGCAAATCAAAACCGCAATGAGATACCATCTCACACCAGTCAAAATGGCTATTAGTAAAAAGTCAAAAAATAACAGATGTTGGTGAGATTGCAGAGAAAAAGGAATGCTTATCCACTGTTGGTGAGAGTGTAAATTAGTTCAACCATTGCGGAAAGCATTGTGGTGATTTCTCAAAGAGCTAAAAGCAGAACTATTATTCTATTCTGCAATCTCATTACTGGGCATATATACCCAGAGGTTTATAAATAATTCTATTATAAAGACACATGCATGTTCACTGCAATGTTATTCACTATAGCAAAGATAAGGAATCAACCTAAATGCCCATCAATGGTAGACTGGATAAAGAAAATGTGGTACATACATGTCATGGAATATTATACAGCCATAAAAAGAATGAGATTATGTGTTTTGTGGGAACATGGTTGGAGCTGGAGGCCATTATCCTTAGTAAACTAAAGCAGGAACAGAAAACCAAATACTTCATGTTCTCATTTATAAGTGGGAGCTAAATGATGAGAACTCATGTACACAAAGAAGACAACAATAGTCACGGGGTCCACTTGAGGGTGGAGGATGGGAGGAGGGAGAGGATAAGGAAAAAATAACTAATGGGTATTAGGCTTAATACCTGGGTGATAAAATAATCTGTACAACAAACCCCATAACACGGGTTTACCTATATAACAAACCTATACATATAACCCTGAATTTAAAAGTTAAAAATGAATAAATAAATGGTAAATCTTTAACAAACCATAGTTACTTCCCCTTTATCCCCAGACTTAGTTTTAAAAATTGCTGGTTGTTTTTGCATATTGTCTCAGTGCTCTAAAATTATCCTAGCCTATGTGTAAGAATGGGCAAAGCCCTCTTAAACAAAAACGGAGTTAGTTATGTTAGCTCTTTTGCTGTTTCACTGCTACAGCGTGAGGTGGGCTCTTTTGGTAGCCATTGTTTGTTGCTTATCCAACAATTATTCCCCACCTTTCTCCCTGATAAAGGAAATCTTATTTCACTCAGGCGGTGGGCAGAGACACTTTAATTTCAGGGAAGGTAGACCTATTTCCCAGACCCTGGGAATGAATTGCTATTAGTGTAAACCAGTAATTGTCATCTCATCCCTTTTGTCAATACGGTAATTAGCTGGGAGACAGTGACAAAGCGGCGTGTAATCCAGTTCCGTCCAATGAGAGATAAGTTGGAAGTTCTGGAAAAGATTTTCTTTTGGATTTAAAAAACAAGAGTCTTGGGAAGTAAAAGTCTTGTACTTGCTCTTTCCTTCCCTCCCTCCCTCCCTCTCTCTCTCTCTTTCTCTCTTTCTTTCTTTCTTTCTCTCTTTCTCTCTTTCTTTTTCTTTCTTTTCTTTCTTTCTTTTTCTGCCTTGAATGGGATCATCTGAAGTTAAAAGCCTTGGAGCTGTGTTGGCTATGCTGTGACCACAAGGTGTGGGTCGCATTTCTATGGATAAGGTGCTAATACCCAAAGATGTCAGAATGGTAAATTAGAACGAGATTTTGCCTTTAAAGACCTTATGGAGCCACAGCCAAGCAGAAACCACCTACCTCCAGTCTTCTTGTTGTACAAGAAAATTAACATGTTTTAAAATATAAGCCTGTGGCTCTCAAAGTGTGGTCCTCTGACCAACAGCATCAAGATTATCTGGGAACCTTCTGAAAATGCAAATTCTCTGGCCCCACCCCAATGTCATGAATCTGCATCTCAGAGTCCAGTGATACTGAAGCATGCCCAAACTTTAGGGTCACTGTGATCACAGTACAGTTTCTGTCAAAGGCATTCCTAGCTGAATCTGCATACAAATATGTGTAGACCAGTGAAAAGATCTAAAGTATTCCCTAGAAGTTGCTTGATTGAGTCCCTGTTATTAGTTTGATTTCTTAATATTTACCTCTTTTTTGTGAGTAAGCCTATCTCCAGAGGGTGAACTTGCTGTTTTGTGTGTGTGTGTGGGGGGGGGGGGGTTTTATATAAAAAATATATATATATATACAGATTTTGTGTGCATATATATATATATATATACACACACATAAATTATTGTGTGAAACTTAATGCTTCCTTTTCCTAAATTGTGTTCTTGTCCTTGATAGAACCTTCGTTTTCACTTTACTGGAAGCCTCTCACTTCCTAGCATCATTCCAATACAATATTATTTAAACATTAGTTAAAGACTTCCATTTCCAGATGACTTTAAAACCCATTCCTTAAACAAATTTGATTATCAAGAAATATGGCCATCTCATAGATCTTCAGAATACTCTCACTAACTACCATTACTGCTAGGACACACTTTTGCATCTAAGGGTGAGAATGGGAAGCCATCTGTGCCTACACTGGGGACTACCAAATACTTTTGATGCACTTTCGGATCCTGTGCATGTTATTCTGATTCCAAAGAAAAGAGTTGGTGGCTGAACAGGTGTGAAGTCAAGAAATCCAGTTTATGATGAGGCTCTTTCAGACAGCTCTGGGTCCTCTCTGATGGATACCATAAAGAGATGCAAGGTTACTGGGGACATGGGACAAGGGCAGAGGGGCTAGAGACCTTGTATTCCTCTGTGCTTCCTATCTCCCAGCTATTTAGAACCCAACACTAGAGGAAGCTAAATGAAAATTTTGCAGAAGACTCCTTGTTTGCTTTCACTAGGACTCTTGACTCCCTCCTCCTCCCGTCTGCGCCTCATCTTTTGTTTCGAATATTAAAGACAAATGTTTTATGGAGCAACATCTCAACACCACTTTACTGTGAGAAGCACTTTACATATATTATCTTATTTCCTTTATTTTATCTAATTTCCCCCTTTTCAATTTTGCTTCTTCATTCTTTAAGTATTCTTCCTCTATTTTGTTTTTCTTTTTTTGTCTTTATTTATATTTCCGTTAAAAACAATACTTTCACATCCTTTTGAAATTATATCTATTCTTGGTTCAGCTTAGAATTTTTGTTCTTAATCTATATTTATATTTTTTTATAAAAGACTAATGGCTCCAGCTTCCCTCCTATCCCCTAGCGCCCCTCCGGCTGCACCGCGCTGGCTCCCAAGCTGGCATCACCCTCGTCTCCCTTCAGCTGCCGTCATGATTGTCTACCGGGACCTCAGCAGCCACCAAAAGATGTTCTCCAACATCTACAAGATCCGAGCGATCGCGGACGGGCTGTGCCTGGAGGCGGAAGGGAAAATGGGGTATCAGTAGGATAGAAGGTAACATTGATGCCTTGCTCATTGGTGGAAATGCCTCCGCTGAAGGCCCCGAGGGCAAAGGTACATAACCATGGTAATCACTGGTGTCGATATTGTCATGAACCATCACCTGCTGGAAACAAGTTTCACCAAAAAAGCCTACAAGAAATGCATCAAAGATTACATACTGGATTACTGTGAGGTTGGTGTGACCCCATATATGATTTTCTTCAAGGATGGTTTAGAAATGGAAAAATGTTAAGAAATTTGGCAGTTACTTTGGATCTCTCACCTGTCATCATTACTGGTTTCTGCTTATCATCCATACAACACCAAGACTTAAGACAAATGGGATTAATTTCATCCTGAGCTCTTCATTTATTCTGACCATGATTTATTTGGAGTGGAAGCATCATTTTTAAGAAAACTATGACATTTAGGTTGTCTAAAAATAAAATACATTTAAACTAAAAAAATGAATGAATCCAATTCATATTTGTATTCTAGTTTATATTTTATAGCTTTTTATTTCCTCAATCATAAGTTTATTTTATTTTGTAATAATTACATTCATATTTAAACTTATATTTTAATTTCCATATTTAAGTTTTTAAAAATGTTCTCTCTTGTATAATTTTACTTTAAATCTTTCTTTTCTTTCTTTCTTTCTTTCTTTTTTTTTTTATTTGTTTTTTTAAGACAGAATCTTGCTCTGTCGCCCAAGCTGGAGTGCAGTGGTATGATCTCAGCTCACTGTAACATCCACCTCCTGGGTTCAAGCAATTCTTCTGCCTCAGCCTCCCAAATAGCTGGGATTACAGGATCCTGCCATCACACTCAGCTAATTTTTGTATTTTTTAGTAGAGATGGGGTTTTACCATGTTGGCCAAGCTGGTCTCTAACTCCTGACCTCAAGTGATCCACCTGCCTCAGTTTCCCAAAGTGCTAGGATCACAGGTGTGAGCCATGGCACCTGGCAAATTTTCCTTTCTTCATGAATATTTATTTTACCTTGTGTTTTTTGCTAGCAAGAAATGTGGGCTTGGGACCTGGCAGTGAAGAAAACCCACATCCTCTGTCCCCACCTGCTCTATATCAAAGAGTGTGACAATCTAACTAAAGGCAAGGTCTTTCTGCAATTACTTAGGATGGGGTCTCAGATTAAACTGGTTAGAGATTCAAGAGCAGAGTGGACTTAGAAAATGTCAAACAATGGTACATCCAGATTACATACCATATATATGTTGGTTGACAATGTAATTTTTATCACCTATACACAAGCACTTCTGAAAGTGAAATAGGTAGCTATTAAAAATCATTCTGGGACACCATGTATAAGAAATATGTATGCAAGATAGGACCAAAACTAATTAATATCAGCTTTGTACAACAGACATTTATTAAAGGAGCAACCATTAACATTAAGGATTTTGTTTGCTTATAGCCATTACTGGAGACAGTGAAAAAAAAATGGATTTTGAAAATTGAAGTGTGAATTAAAACACAATTCTCTGATGTATGAACCACTTCCTTTTTGGGCCAATTAGAAAATCCAGACAGCAAATTGTAGTTGTCTTTACATCTCAGGCATCTGGTATGCATTTTAGATGACATCAGCCATATAGTAGTCCACAGATATTAAATTTTTTTAGTATTGGCAATAATTCTTTAGTTTCACTTGGCTATGAACAGAGAGGGTGGGAATGAAAGTGATTCTGATGTTTTTGCCTCTAGATAACTGGCAGGATGAAGAAGGCCTATAGGAGGCAAAACAGAATACTGAGTTTGAGGAACCTGTGGGACATTCAAGAAGAGAGGTCAAGTAGACAGTAGGATATAGATCATTCTCATGTAGTCTCTGATTATCCCATGCTATGTGATATGGTTTGGCTGTGTCCCCACCTAAATCTCATCTTGAATTATAGTCCACATAATCCTCAGGTGTCACGGAAGGGACCTGGTGGGAAGTGATTGACTCATGGGGGCAGTTTCTCCCATGCTGTTTTCGTGATAATGAGTGAGTTCTCATGAGATCTGATAGTTTCACAGGTGTCTGGAATTTCCTTGCTGGCACTTGTCTCTCCTGCCACCATGTGAAGAAGGCCATGTTTGCTTCCCCTTCTGCCATGATTGTAAGTTTTCTCAGGCCTCCGCAGGCACATGGAACTGTGAGTCAATTAAATCTCTTTCCTTTATAAATTACCTAGACCAGGGACAGGTCTTGATAGCAGTGTGAGAATGGACTAACACTACGCTTGGATAGGACCCAACTGAAGGCATTAACAGCTGACCCCTACTACTCAAAAACAATCTTTTACCAAAGGTGAGGATGAGAGCAGTCTTGCCCTCAAAGGAAAATGAGTCTAGCTTGGATGCCATTTGGACGTTGCCTACTCATGCTGACAGTGTGGGAATCTTGGGCAATGTTGACGCTCTGTGTTGGCTCCTTTTCAGCCAAACTAAAGAGAGCTGCCAGGGTCATCAGCGGCCAACCGTCTCTCCACAAAGGTTTGGCAGTTATCAGGATAAGGTAGCAAAGCCACAGGGTAGATGAGATCTCTTAGAAAGAGAGGAAAGAGTTAAGGGTAGAATCCCTGGCCATTTCACACGGCAGTGTGTGGGCTCACACATATGACCCAATACCATGAAAAATGGATGAGGTAACTGTGTTTTTATGCTACCAAGCACTGGGCAGCAGTAATTTCCCTGCTCCCCTTAAGCGCATTTGATGATTTATTGCCGTGTAGTGTGCAGGTACAGCCAAGGAGGGTGAAAGTACTGTCAGCCAAGCTCACGGAGAGTATGCAGGCTGCTGGCAAACCCCAGCCTCTTTCGCCAGTCAGATAAATCAGAGGAGCTGCTAATATATATGTGAATGCATGAATGTTTCCTTCTGTTTGTTTGTTTTTTTTACAATAAAGTTTCAGAAGAAATTCAGTTGCTTACTTGCTTCATCGTATGTTTCTATTTCTCTGTTTTTGTTTGAGGTATAAACCACAGCAGCTACTTCGTTTTTAAGACTTTGTGACAATTTTGAAAATGGAAAAAAAAATATGTTCTTCAAGTTTTCTTCTGAACACAAAAGCAGAATAAGCAAATAAACTAAAAAAGAGTTAATAGCCTTGTTCCCTCCCAGTTTTACCTTTTAACGAGTAATGCAATAAGAAGATAAAGGAAAGAATGGCATTTATATTTTATCAGACTGATAATGGGCAGGACTTAATTTTTTTTTTTTACAAAAGAAATAAAATAAAAATAAAATAATATGCAGATTAATGCAATGGCTTTGAGTTAGAAGTCTGTAAAGAGCCTTAGTTGTTAGGAGAAATTTCCTAAATTTTCATCCCACTTATCATATTGAGTTTAAGCCCAAACAATATTAAGCCATACACTATCATAATATGTAATTTTACCAAATTATACTCACAGGACATCACAGAGGAAAATAAAAACAACGTACTAACTTTTCTAGTTGTAACTGTTGTGCTATTGATATAATCAGCCAAGCAAGTTTTTCACCTACTCTTTGTTTGTTGATACACAGATGAAAATACACCGAACTAGTTCACAGGCGAATCTGTGTTTGTTATTTTCAGCTTCCACTTTCTAAGTTTTGGTCTACCTCAGCCGTGCCCTCTCTTCTTGTTCTGCCCTTCTGAATGCACACGTTTCTCTTGCTTCCTGACTTTTTGTTTTATTTTTTTTTATTTTTGAGATGGAGTTTCACTCTTGTTGCCCAGGCTGGAGTGCAGTGGCACAATCTCAGCTCACTGCAACCTCCACCTCCCAGGTTCAAGCTATTCTCCTGCCTCAGCCTCCAGAGTAGCTGGGCTTATAGGCATGTACCACCACACCCAGCTAATTTTTAGAGGGGTTTCGCCATATTGGCCAGGCTGGTCCTGAACTCCTGACCTCAAATGATCTGCCTGCCTCGGCCTCCCAAACTTCTGGGATTACAGGCGTGAGCCGCTGCGCCTGGCCCTGACTTACCTTCTATCTAGGAACAGGTCATCCTTCTTTCTTCCTTTCTTCTTTTTCATTTTATAACCCAAACTCATTGACATCACTGGATTATTTCTTCCAAGAATATTTATTTTAAGCCTTTTTGTCTCTTAGCAAGAAAGAAAGGATTTCTCCTTACCATTCCCAGACACGCAGCGCATTGTGCCAGGCCATTTTTAATGTGGCACTGACACTCTCATCAGAGAAGAGAGATGCAAGGTTTTTTCATAAAGCTGTGGTTTCCTTTTGCAAATGAGAACTACTTACAAAGTCACTTCAAATATTGATACTGGTCAATGCAGGGAGCCAAAACAGGAGACGCTACCCACCGTGAGGAGTTGCAGCCTTAATAAAAGACAATGTTTTTCAACTTCCAGGCCCTTTACTTTCTCCTGGTAACTGCATGTCCTGACATCTTGCCACTGGGTAACATTTCTTGTTTGACAGGTTTCTTCCATAAACCAGATGACAAGGTGTGGGTGAAGATTCCGAAGAGAAACCATGTTACCTCATCTACGCCCTTCTAAGGGTGCATGACCAGGGTAAACCACATAGCAGAGCCAAAGAATGAATTAGTTAAACATTCCTACCCACAAGAGAAATTCCTCTGTCATGTAGAGTCTAAATAATTTGTTTTTATCTGGGGGTAACATTCCTTTTATAGGCACTACCCGCCTGGAGATTCTTTGCTTGATTTGGTTCACAATCACGTGGGTTTTTTTTGTTGTTGTTTGTTTTTTGTTATGTTTTGTTTGAGACAGAGTCTCACTCTGTTGCCCAGGCCACGCTGGAGTGCAGTGGTGTGATCTCAGCTCACTGCAACAACCTCCACCTCCCAGGTTCAAGAGATTCTCCTGCCTCAGCCTCCTGAGTAGCTGGGATTACAGGCAGGCACCACCACACCCCGCTAATTTTTGTATTTTTAGAACAGTCGGGGTTTTATCATGTTGGCCAGGCTGGTCTCAAACACCTGCCCTCAGGTGATCCTCCCACCTCAGCCTACCAAAGTGCTGGGATTACAGGCCTGAGCCACTGTGCCTGGCCCAAATCCATGTTTTCAAAGAGTTGGGGCACCAGCTGCTCGTGGCTGAGTGGCACTTCAGGCCCAAACTGCAGGGTCGGCTTCAGCAGGGAGAGAACTTGCAACTCCAAACAAGGGTGGTTTAGGGTCCTCCATTCTCTTGGTCTTCAACACTTGCAGGGAAAGAAGAGCCTTGATGTTACTGTTTTGCACAATCCACTGGCTATTACACATTTTTGTATTGAATAAGTATTATGGATTCAAAAGCACTCGGATGTGTGTGAGTGGGGGATTGGGGAGTACCCTGACATACTCAGAGGAATGGACTGAGGCATCTCAGGCCATTTTCATACCAGAACGACTTCAGTGACTGAAGGCATTTCAGGACTGAAGCCCAGAGCCGCCACCCCGAAACACAGCCTTGTGTGACTAGGAGCAGGGAGCTA